TGTTCCCACCACCTGCAGTAACAGTACAAGGACTTTCCCCCAAATCACTTGAGAGGAAGTTGTTGACATAATGCCCCAGCATCCCATATTTCGGGGCAACAAGCGAGGGCATTCTCTTAGGGAAGTACAGTACGCCCACTGTAGTTAAAGTCAGCAGGCTAAGGTGTGATGGGTCAGCTGCCGGAGGATGCCAGGGAATGCTTTCTCTGATGCTCCATGTCACAAATACTGCACTATCTACTGTCGTCATTGCCAATAGTGTTTCCGTTTTGGTACATATAAATTTGACACTTTTTTGTTTTTGTGAAAACATGTTATATTTCAAATGTCGTCCTGTATTAAATCCATGTAGTCTACAAAGAAAAAATATATATAAAGAAAAGTATTTATGTGAACGGAGCCATTGGGAGGTGTAAGATTACCCACAAGCTCTTCCTCGGGCCACTGGCCACAGCAAAGCCCTCAGAGAAGGCTGTCTCTGCTTCTTTGGGCAGGTCAGTGTACACAGACCATTTCCAGGCGTCCTTGCCTGATGCAGCTGAACAGCAGCCTGGGACCCCGCTGGCACGCTGTTCTCGCACCAGCCTGGCCTCACTCTTTCTGACTGGTGCAGAGTGACAATAACATAGACTCTACACACTGTTAGTTACCTATGGCTGCTGTGACAAATTCCCATGAGCTTAGTGACAGCCCTAGTTTTGTGGGTTAGAAGTCCACCCGGAAGGGACAAATGTGGGTGGGCCCCTGCACTCCTTCGGGAAGTCTCTCCACCTTAATAGCAAGGCCAGGAGTCGCTCTGCTGGTTAGATTAAAAGTACAGAAGATGATGTATACTGTCCAGTGCTTAAAAGTTTTAAATTTACTTTTTCTAACTTCAGGAAAATAAGGAGATTTACTTATTACACCTTGTACGTGGCTCTTACTGCTCATCTCATTGTAGTACTGAAGCCTTAGGATGTGCTCAGTCTGCTAGGTTCCGGGCTCTGTGAGCAGAGTAACAGTACCTTGCTTGTGGCTCAGTAAAATACCGGCTCTTCCACAAAATACCGACTTCTGCACATGGGCCACGAAGTTTCAATCGTACTGTATGTGCGCGCCCGCACGTGGTATTTTGTGGAAGAGCCACACTCAAGGGGCCAAAGAACCGTATGTGGCTCACAAGCTGTGGTTTGCCAACCACGGGTCTGGGAGAAGCAGCGTGTGGAGACGAGGGAGGACATTGGTGGTGCGCTGCCCTGGGCCCAGGGTACCGCCCATTCTTCCACTTGGATCCCAAGTGCCGGAAGTGGGCTGGTGGGGAGGAGAGAGGAGGGAGAGAATTCTGGTGCTTCGAGACAGGGGAAGTGATGCCTCCCAGGCAGTTAGGCTTCTACCAAGGCCCTCAAATAAGGTTAAGTTCAGTCATCTATACTAATAAAAGGGTAATATGCTAATTAGATTGGACATCTTCTAGACATCCTTCCAGACGTCCTTCTGGACAAAGCCATGGTGGCAAAGGCCAAGGCAGAGGCGGTTAGTGGCAACCAGGCGACAGGGGTGAGCAGTTAGGGGTGACCAGGCTGGCAGGGGAGGGCAGTTAGGGGTGACCAGGCTGGCAGGGGAGGGCAGTTAGGCAGTTAGGGGCGATCAGGCAGGCTGGCAGGCAGGTGAGGGGTTAGGAGCCAGCGATCCCAGATTGGGAGAGGGATGTCTGTGCTGCCAGTTTAGGCCCGATCCTGCTGGCAGTTGGACATCCCCCAAGGGTCCCGGAATGGAGAGGGTGCAGGCCGGGCTAAGGGACCCCCGAACCTCTGTACACAAATTTTGTGTACCGGGCCTCTAGTTTCATTATAATGTTGATGAGGTGCCCTAGGAACTTAGCTCTGGTTGATAGCAATTAGCCTGTGGTAACAAGGGGTTTGTTATGTCATTTTGCTGAAAGTTGTGGAGCCTGTTGAGGACATTAAGTGAGGACCTACTGTATATAGGTATAAAGTATAAAGAACAAGATTAATCCCCTATGCTTTTCAAATAAGTATTTTTAGAGTAGGAGCAAGAACATCAGAAATTAAGTAACTTGACCATAACATTTTGAATCTGTCCTATTGTGACAAACTGCCTGGGAATTCTTCCTGGTGGTGCACTGCACCGGGCCCTGGATGGATGTCGGGGCCTGTGGAGCCCTCGGCATTACTGTTGTCTTTGGATTCTCCCTTTGCTTTCAGCCAATTCTGTTACTCCACCGTGGATTAGTAGAATTTTCCTCTATTTCAAATTTTTGAAAAAATTTTGTAAGAAGACTAATGCTAGCGTGGGCATTTTTTTGCAAAGATGTCTACAGAGAAAGCCTCCCAGGCTGTGTCAGGCTACAGCTACAGGTACAGCTACAGTTACAGGTACAGGTACAGCTACAGCTACCTAACCTTCGTCAGTCTGGCAGGCAAGTCAAGGTGAAGGGAAGCAAATCGAGGAGCAGCCCTAGGAGAGAGAACGAACTCCGACCACGCAACCAAGCTGCAGGGAGAAAATCCCGCTCGCACGCAGACCCAGGGGAGTCAGTGGGAATGGCCTTCTCAGGAGGAAAAGGGCCTGATAAGCCGGAGGGGCTGTTGAAAAGAATGAACTGGCTGCGAATATCCAGGTCACGTGCCTCTCCAAACACTGCCTGTGGTCGGCGCTCACTGTCTCCTTGAAGCAGTTTCAACTTTTTGGGTCAACACTGGGAACAGCTGTGTACCAAGGACTGTCGGTTCTGAAAATTCTTTGATAAGATTTTGCTCAGTGTTGAAGTACAGTAGTTTTTATAGCATGGTGTTCAAATACTACTTTCAATTTTTAGCAATGAGTTTATTGTGTTTTAACCAAAGGCTCAGAATAAGAGAAAGTTCTGTAGCCCACAGTCATTCACCAAAGAAGGTGGCAATGCTGAGAGACCATTTACTGATGACTTACTTCTGGTCTCTGGCCTGCAAATTCTGTGGAATGTGCCACGGCCTTTCTGCTGGCGGCACCTGACTCCAGTATCTGTGAGGGACAGCTCACTGACCCCTCCTTGTTGTGTCTGTAAGTCCCCGCTGGCCGCTGCCTCTGTGGTCTGCTGGCTGTGAGAGGCTGGGCACAGGTCTGGGGGGCTCCCTGCATCAAGCCCACCTACAGATTCTAATAGATGTGGAGACATTGGGTTCATGACATCACAGTATGACCACATTCCCATCATGCTTTGTTTCCCTGCTGTCCAGTCAATGAAGTCAGTTCTACCTGAAGAGAACACAGGGGACCGACTGCCATTCACTTTCACCATCGGATTCCTTCCCTCTCGACTGCTGTCCACTTTTGTTTAACCAAATGACAGGGGACAAGGAGAGACATTTTTATGAGAACCCACACCAGCCTTTGCAGAGCAGTTCCTGTGGGCTGTGTTGCTCACTTGGATTTACGGGAGCTCATCAGCCTTAGAGAGGCGCTGCCATTCTCCCCACTTCATGTGAGCAGTCAAGGTGCAGGGAGGTCAGCCTGCCCAAGGTCACACATGGCCTCCAGAGACTGTTCTGAACCTCCGTGTGGTCCGAGGGATGGCCTTTGTTTTTGTGTTTCCTACAACAGCACATAATGAAGACCGTATATACCCCATGGGGAGGGTATAACAAAGTGGACGCCCACATGCCAGCTTAAGATAAAGGCCATTACCAAGGCCCTTGCTCGCCACTCCTGCCGGGTGCAGGCCCTCTCATCACAGCGTCCTACCCACACCTGCTCTGCTTCCCCTGCTGGGCTTATTTTCCTTAAAAAAAAAAAACACACAAAAAAAAAACACACAAAAAAACACACACACAACAAAAACACCCTCCTTAAGCCAGTGGTTCTGGGCATATGTAAAAGCAATGAATCAACAGAGGCCAGCAAAAAACCCCACATACAGAACACTCTGGAAAGTATTTCAATGTTTCACACATCTCCCAAAGCTACAAGTGACCATGTAACTGACGTCCACACCAGGACAGTGGGGAGTAGCTACACTGAGGGGCAGGTGCCGGCTGCGGCCAGCGGGCACTGCTGTCATCTCCTCACGCTGCTCACAGCAGCTCCTACCTCACTAGTGCCTGCTCCTCCAGTCCCGCGGCCCTCTTGCTGTCCCCAGTGCTCCCGCCTCAGGGGCAGGCTCACTGTCTTTGTTTCCCAGCCTTATGGAAGGATAGTTAACCAATAAAATGGTAATATATTTAAAGTGCACAGTGTGACAATTTGACATATGTATAAATTGTGAAAGGAGCCCCACCCCTTGAGTTAATCAACACACCCATCATTTCATATAGTTATCCTTTTTTTATGTGTGAGAAGGCTTAAAGATCTACCCTCTTAACAAATTTCAATACCATGTAGTATTAACTACAGTGACCATTCTGTATATGAGATCCTCAGAATTAACTCGCCTTATACCTGAAAGTTTGTACCCAACTTGGAGGGCATTGTGCAAAGTGAAATAAGCCAGACAGAGAAAGACAAAACCTGCATGGTATCAATTATATGTAGAATGTATTAAAAAAAAAGTCAGACGCAGAGGAGGATGGTCCTGCCAGGGCTGAGGGGTGGGGAAACTGGCTTGTTGCCTTCAACAGCTTCCGGGCAGCTCGCCTCTCCTCTCCTGAGCTCCTGACGAGGGCGCTCAGCTTCCCTCTGCTCCTGAACAAGCTCGCCCCTCAGTGTGAAAACTGTGGGCCACTGCCATGCGGGCAAACAAGTCAGGAGAGGCGAGCTCAAGCCCAGTCCCATCAGAAACTGCAATGTGCTTCACCTTCAATGGGTCTGGGCTTTCTTGTCCACAAAACGAGGTTACTCGATGGGGATTTGCTCAATGTTCCCTCAGGTCGATATGCCAAGATTCTATGAATTTATACTTCTTCTAAAACTACCTCTGGAAAAGTTTACAAAAATAAAGCAGCAGACTGAAGCTAACATTTTTATTTTTTAAAATATATTTTATTGATTTTTTACAGAGAGGAAGGGAGAGGGATAGAGAGTTAGAAACATCGATGAGAGAGAAACATCGATCAGCTGCCTCCTGCACACCTGCTACTGGGGATATGCCCACAACCAAGGTACATGCCCTTGACCGGAATCGAACCTGGGACCTTTCAGTCCGCAGGCCGACACTCTATCCACTGAGCCAAACCAGTTAGGGCAGAAGCTAACATTTTTAAAAGGGAACCTTTGCAAAGTAGCATCTGAAAATAAGCTCTCACAACCCAGTGTCTGACTGTGGCCTTCCCACTGGCCAGCACTTATTGATGTGTGTTCGCCACATGCAGGTGCACGCTCCCCCTCCTTTCCCGGCAACACTCAGCGCTTCTTCCAGGTAAACTTCCTGCGGGCTCCCTCCTGGCCCGGCTTCTTCCGTTCTCGGACGCGCGGATCAGACGTGAGCAGTCCAGCTGCAGCACAGAGAGAGAAGCTGTGACAAACCATGGGAAACGCACTCTTTCAGGATATTTTCCCAAACACCAGCTACATTATTTGGTCTGCTTTCCTTATCGAGTGAGGACTGATTCCTTTCAGGGTTTCAAAACTGTTTAACTTAAGCGAAAGCTGCTCTTGTGTGGGAGGTTGCCATGCATGGCAGTGGAACTCCTGCTCACATCATTCCAGATGTGAGCGAGCGAGTTTAATGAACACAAGAGGCAGAGAAGAAACACTTACACAGGGAAGTAGGAGGTATGTGGACACCAGATATTACTAGTATACATGAATATACATATACTTAAAATATGATTTACTGAACATATTTGAGAAAAAAATCTTATTCTAATTTGTCATTATAATATCCTTGGTATTTTTTTTAAACATATTTTATTGATTTTTTACATAGAGGAAGTGAGAGGGATAGAGAGTTAGAAACATCGATGAGAAAGAAACATCAATCAGCTGCCTCTTGCACATCCCCCACCGGGGATGTGCCCGCAACCAAGGTACATGCCCTTGACCGGAATCGAACCTGGACCCTTCGGTCCGCAGGCTGACGCTCTATCCACTGAGCCAAACCGGTTAGGGGAATATCCCTGGTATTTTGTTTCAGAATCTAAAGAGTGAGTTTTAGGGTTGCATTCTCATGATAAGCACTTTATCCCAGAAGAACAGTCTGTGTAAATTAAAGGCTTCCACGCTCCTAGTCGGTCTCCAGGAGCAATATGCTTCCTCCACAATTAAGGAGTTGCTCGTAGTGCATGGCCAATGAGGACCTGACGTGGATGCAGTCAGTATATCAGCAAAGACCACAGATTTCAAAACTTCCAGCAATAAGAAATCGTTTATAAATATATAAACAGACCACAGTGTTTCACTGTTTGTCTTTTTTTAAACTCTTCCAACACTAGTACGTGCTTAAGTATTTCATGAGGGGTCTTGTAATGACCGTCCAGCAAAGGAAAACCTCAAATGCTTATCATATACCCATAGCTTTTGCAATTTACTTGTATTTAAATGACAGGGAATTAAAAATATTTTGAACAAGATACAGACAATTATAAGTGATAATGCTTTCTTACTTTTCAATATGCACAGTAACTCAAACTAGCAGAATTGTTAAGATCCTATAAAATGATTTTAATGACCAGATATGAACTTCACAAAATGGTGAACTGTTTATGAACGAATGGATTGTGAAGAGGCTGACACATTTAACGAGGCTCAGCCATAGGTGGCGCTTGTCTGCAGCACTGCTCCGGGAGCCAGGGGCTGGGGGAGGTGGTGAGTGAGGAGCCGCAGCACCCGCAGCACTGTCACAAACAGCGTAAAGAAAATCTTCCGCCAGAGCCACCTGATTTATTATAAATGTCAAAGCAGGGCCCTAACGAACAAGTCTCACACTTGTATCCACGACTATGTCATGGGTTACATGAAGCGAGACAAGATGAAATTCGAACTTAACATCACCATGGAAAAATGGAAATCTCCAATAATTTTGGAAAGAAATACATACCTTAAGGGCTTCACCATTAAATGAAATAATTATTATAACTTTCCATGATAAAACAAAAACAACCAATCCATTTGCTAAATACAATTGAGCAGCACTGGATAAACTGGTTATGCCTTGAGATCCAAATAAATTTCCTCTGATGCTGGCAATGCCTCCCTTTTTTTTTCCCAACTCAAGTTCATTTTGTAGAAATCAAAACTGAGTAACAATGCTATAGTTCTGGGCAGGAAAAGAGAAGGCAACGAATTGCAATACTGCACAGTGAACTGTTTTCTCACTGAGTTCAGGTAAGTAGCACAAGAATAAACGAAACACTTCCCTCCCCCAGCAATGCATACCTTGTCTCATCCACTCGACCTCTTCCTCAGTGACAAAACTGCACAAAGCTCTGGCCATTGCCAAGCGTATGGCTCCAGCCTGCGCCGACCTCCCGCCCCCGGAGACGGTGCAGGTCACATCATGCTTTCCCAGTCGGTCCAGGAAGTGAAAAGGGAACATCAACTGTTCTCTAAAGCACAACACCAGACATATGGTTAAGTTCACAATAGCACATGACTTTATAAACGGTTCACATTCTGACCATTTACAAAAGCCATATTGTGCACTAAGTGTTCATACTTCTGGATGAATCCATTACTATATTTTCATACTTTTTAATCAATCCATTGTGAAGAAACACTAATATTTCTTTTTAAAAAATATTTTTATTGATTTTTAGAGAGAGAGGAAGGGGGAGGGGAGAAAGAGAAACATCGATGAGAGAGAAACATTGATCAGCTGCCTCGGGCATACTCCCTCCTGAGGATTAAGCCTGCAACCCAGGCACATGCCCTGAGCAGGAACTTAACCAGCAACCTTTTGGTACATGGGACAATACCCAACCAATTGAGCCAACTGAGCCACACCGATCAGGGATTTTCTTTTTCTTTTATTTTAAAAAAATCCTCACCGGAGGAGATGTTTAGAGAGGAAGGTAGAGGGGGTGAGAGAGAGAAACACTGATGTGAGAAACATCAATTGGTTACCTTGTGTACATGCCCTGACTGGGAGTTGAACCTGCAACCTTTCGGGGTACAGGACAACACTCCAAATACCTGAGCCACATAGGCCAGGACCACTGATATTTGTGATATTTAAAATGTTTTGCTGAGAGGAAGGTTTATTTCTTTTTCTTGGAAAAAATACTATAATTTACTCAAGATATATCACTAGAGTAGTCCAGGTAAGAAAGAACCATTAAGAAGAATCTAGATAGTTGAGAAATTGGTATACACTGAGGCACAATTCTAAATTTATAAGTAGATGAAAAAATACCCAAAGGGTAATAATAAAAAGTAATTATATAGCTATTGATTTAAATAAATCTGACTACAAACTGGTACATGGCTTGAAAATATTTCACAATTCATCTCTCTACTCAGGAATCCCAGATAAAATCCTGAGTTAAAAGAATCAAATTTACTTTGTTCCTTGTTATATAATAAAAGTTATTCTGAAAAAAAACAAAACAAACCCACAACTTTCTCATTTCTATCTTCTCTGAACACTACCTTCTAGGGCATCAATTCTATTAGCATGTAACTTAAAATACATATAATTGCATAGTCCCTTATTTCTCTCCTAAAGGCCAGGTGCATGAATTCATGCACAGGTGTGGTCCGGCTGGCCTGCCCTGATCAGGGCTGATTGGGCCGGGCAGGCTGGGGGGAGGAGCTATGGGTGGTTGGCCAACTGGCCCCACCCCCTAGTTGAACTCCTGGTCGAGGGGAAAATTTGCATATTAGGCTTTTGTTATATAGGAGGATAATTGCCTGAGCTGCTAAGTGTATCTCCTCGTCTACATGGCTCATGTCCTGTGAGGAATGCACTCCTTCAGTACAGAGTGATGATCACTTAGAGCTGCTTTATTGGTTGAATGACAGAGCAAAAGCCTTTCCAAATTGGAAAGGTTATTGATCTTTGCATTCCACAGTGCCACGCATATTGTAATAAACGGTGGTTGTGTGAGTGGATGAATGAATAAAAAATTCCTGAGGCTGCTGGGAAGGCAGCAGGGTCAACCTTCCCAGTGATCTGCTGCTGTTTGTGTAAAGGCAGCCTAAAGAAAGGCCCTGGAAAGCAAGCAGTACAACCAACGTCAGCATTATCTTATGATCAGCACCTTGGCTAAGGTCCTGCAGCTGGGAAGCATCAAGGTCACCCTCCTCCGGTTCAGTGGTCCTGCCCTGGCCAGCGCCCTCACTGCTGACCTGCAAGCTCCTGGGCTGCTCCGTCAGGAGGAGAGGCAGTCCATGCCAGTCCATGCCAGTGTGGCCGCCGGGAGCCCTCCAGCTACTTACGGGTGAGGCGGTTTAGCCACCCATTCCCACCATGACTAGCTTAGCTATAGGTTTCCCAACAGAGTTTCCTAATGACAGAAATCAGATCTTAGATAGCTGTAATATCTTCACACTATCCAGAACAAGCCTCGACTCAGACAATCCTTATTAAAAGTCTGTTGAATTCTAAATGAATAAGTTCTAAGAATATATTTTAATTGTGGTGTGTTTGTGTCTGCTCTGACTCCATTTAATGTGAATTAAACTAATTCTGCCATCATCCTCGCAGGGGAACAGATGAGGAAGTTCTTTTTTCCCTCATGAAAAGCCAGAGAGACCCATCAATTTAGCACTGGGGACTGCTAGGAGGAATAACATTTGACCGATATTTGCCTGTTCATTTATTTTCAGATATAACTGATGATTTAACATACATTTCCTGAAGAAATTACTCTGCTCAGGAGCTTACACTGCATCGGCAGCTCCCCTTTCCCTACTGCACTGACCTCAAAACCTCTCCCCATTCAAGAAGTGGGAGGAGGGTTAGGAAAGGAGGAACAATCACGCAGAGCTCTGCTCCTTGTGGTTGACAGTAAATACTGGAAAGACAATAACAGTCTCAAGAACAGGCCTTTGCAGGAGCTCAGAGACCTGAGAGGAGCACATGTGGAGGCTCTGAACTGTAACACCCACTAATGATTCATGTGATTCGTGTCTGTTTCCCATGGGATACAAAGCTCGAAAAGAAAACTGCCTTACTTAGCACTGGGGTGCAGCCAAGCCTCATGGGCTCTTACTTAAGGTGGAAGTGGTTGCTCAATCTATATATACTAGAGGCCCAGTGCACGAATATGCAAATTGTCCCCATGGGATTTCAACCAGGAGACCAATTGCTTGCTATGATGTGCACTGACCACCAGGGGGCGGCCCAGAATGAAGGAAGGCCCCGGCCAGCAGCTGGGGAAGGGAGGCACCCAGCTGGCAGCCAGAAGGCCCCGATTGGCCCTGATCGCCGGCCAGGCCTAGGGACCCTACCCGTGCATGAATTTTGTACACTGGGCCTCTAGTATACATATAATTTATTTCCTCTGAATAGGAAAAAATCTGAAGTGACAGAGCAGACTTTTTCTAATATGCATGCTGGCCATGGCTGCTTTTTGTTGTCGTTTTGTTTTGTTTATGCCCACCCCTAAACAAGGGTAACAGAAAGCGGAAATCTACTTTTCTTACATTTTGGCACAGTCTGCATTTCAGAACGTAAGAGATATCTGTGGAAAAATATTACAAAAGAGTGATAGCTTCCCTCTAGCTAGTCTGATAAATTATATTAGTAAAAAAAGAAAATCATTAGCAAAGACAAATGCAATCAGAAAAATCACAAGCCTTAATGAACTAATCATGATGAAATATATTTTCTTTAAAAACAAAAAGCAAAAGCAAAACCAGACACTAACCTGTCCTGTAGCACAGGGAAGTAAAGCAGGTAGTCGATGCCATTAATTTTTATTCTTCCATTTCCATGTTCATAAACAACTGCCTCTGCTTTTGCACTCTTTCTTCTACCTTTAAAAATATAAAATTTCTAATAGTAAAAATCTGAAAGAGCAGGGCTGTGAGACAATAAAGTCACATTAAAATTTTTTCTTTCAAATAACAATATATAGCACTACACAGGAAACTCTACAACTACTATACAAGTCAACCAAAAATAAACAGGTAAACTATGCCATAATCAATGTAATAGAACTTATTATGTGGTAATTTTGAACACTACAATGATTTTAAGTTAGTTAAATATGAAGTAATTCATATTTATTTATATTACTTTAAAAAAATCAACCAATTTACAGTGTTCTTTTATATTCAATAAGAATATATTTAATCATATAATTTTTAAATATTTGAAAAGTATAAGATATAATTGATAGAAATGAAAGTAATGACGAGGCAAGATGTTAAATTTGTAAGAGTTGCAGGTATATCATTTAATACATTAATTTTTTAAAAAATATATTTTTATTGATTTCAGAGAGGAAGAGAGAGGGAGATAGAAACATCAATGATGAGAGAGAATCACTGACTGGCTGCCTCCTGCACACCCCACTAGGAATTGAGCTGGCGACCTGGGCATGTGCCCTGACCGGGAATCGAACTGTGACCTCCTGTTTCATAGGTTGATGCTCAACCACTGAGCCATGCCAGCCAGGCTAGTACGTTAATTTTTAAAAGTCACACCATGTCAAATGTCTGCACACCTACAAGGAGAAGGTGAGTGAGGGCCTAAAGTTCTCAAGTCTCATAGTTTTAGCTTCTGATATGCAGATTGATGGGCACTTTCATTTTTTATAAGAAACCTTTATTATAAATGTTTTAGTGTTTCTACCAGTTGAAAGTGTAAAAATAAAAAGATTTAACATAAATATGTGAAAATAAAAAAGGGTTAATATGATTGTGTAGGAATGTGTCCACATTTTTTCTTAGGACATTATAAGGTCTTGCTTTTTAAAATTTCAATAGAATCTTAAAAATGAGGAATTCCAAGGTAGCAATAGCAAAAATAAACAAACAAGCCAATCGAATGAATCCCAGAGAGCAATAGCAAATAAAAATCCCTGTAGTTTCATAGTCGTCATGGAGCTCACTTCTCTCCGTGGAGTGCCATTACCTTCGCTGGTGCTGAAGGCCATTCCCTGCGCGTCATGCTGCACGGGCTCAATCGGCTGCTTCTTTGATTGCACAGTGACACTCCTGCGGAAGCTCTGCACAAATTCTTCTTCGGCAGCACCGCACTGCAGTAACCTTTCCATCAGCCGCAGGAACTGCGCATACTGCACACAATAAAAACTCATTAGAAGATGCAAGTGTAATTGCATTTGCTAAATTTTTTCTATTTTGATAGACTCGATCTTTCCAATGTTGCTTTCATGATGGTTTTGACAGGATGACATGTGGGCACCTTCATGCTGCTTTTAACGCAGCGTGCAGAGACGCAGCACTTACCCGTGGATCTTCAGGGCTCACTCATTTCTTTGAGAAACAAAGAATATGTCATTCAAAGAAGTCAACTTCTCCATATTTTGATGACGTGAAATTGAGATTTAAATTCATTTCAAAAAAATATTTAGATGATCTTCAAGAGTAATTTCTACTTCTTATTAGAACCGTATTTAGAGGAGCTTCATAAATAATTTCCAGTAAGTTATGTGTAGTAAAATGGGAAGAGTTTGATTTTGAGAAAATGTACTCTTAAATTATATTTCATAATACACTTGGCAAATATATCTTTAGCTGTTCAAGCTGTGTTACTTTAATGTTTATGATTTCCTTTAAAACCGAACAATCAAGCTATTTAAAAATTCAAGAGATACTTGACTTAAAGGGCAACCTCTTGAAATAAATTATCCTTGCTACTCTGTGCATTTTTTTTAATAGTTCTTGAACATGTGATTAGAAAGTAAACAACTTGGTATTAACCCCTTAAAATTAGAAGTCAGAATAATCATTCTAAAGTGTTTTTGCAGAAGGAAACAACTAATACTTGAGATCCTCAGGTATGTGCAGTATGAAACCAATTCTGATCATCTTATTTATGTTTTTGCCAACCCTAAAAGTCACACTCGTCTTTGTTACCATTGCCTTTAGTGTGAAAATCTGCTATTGGTAAGTTGAATTACAGAAGAATCTCACTGGTAAGATCAAAAGCACTGCTTCCATTCCTGCTCCCTGTGATGTTACAATAAGAGAAGGCCATTTTCCGAGTGAGGGTGAAGCACTCAGCCACCAGTGATGCTGGCCTGATAAAGCTCCATTCTTCCCTCCAACTACAGGCCTATATCCTTGGTCCTCAGCGATTCTCTCAATTCCACTGCACACAGTGTGACTACTGGTGAACCTACCAAGGGGGTAACTGCAGGGATGACATAGTTGTGCTCATGAGCCAAGAAGTTTAGGAAGCCACTGACTGTTCCTGCCTCCTTCTTCTTGATACCAGACTTCAGCTGATAGCCACTCCCCAAAAGGATAGAAGACATACACATCTATGCACACGGGTATAAAGTCTTTGGATGTTTTCAAAATAAAAAACACAACCCTGCAGTATAAAAATCAAAGCAACCAGAAACAGGAAACCATGAAGTGCTGTGTTCCATGGAGAAGCAAAGGGAGATTTTCTACTGAGATCTGAGTTCAACAACACCGACTTGCAGTCAGTTGGAAATTAACTCCAGACCTACCACTCACTCACCGAATGCCCGACACCTTGGTTAAGCAACTTTCTAATTCATTAATTTATCCAATATGTTCCATGAGAAAAAGGGCAATGTCAGTACATGACTTAAAATCTACTTGGTGGCAAGGCACAACCACTGTTAGCCACTGCCAGGTAAGAAAAAACACTCTTGGAACAGTTTTAAATTAATCTACACTGAAATCTTCCAAAAATAATCTAAATTTAGAATATAAAGATATGTAAAACATCAAATTTCCTCTGATGATACTGGCATATATTAGGACATTTTGTAAACAATCTGACTGAGACCTAAAGCAGGAGTCAAAAGCAATAGGATATAGCATTCACCTGGAAGCTTGTTAAAAGTATTGATTCCGGGTGACTCCCCTAGAAATTCCGAGCTATGTCTGAATATGAGGACTGCATTTTGTAAGCAGCATTCCAAGTGATTCTGTCACAGGGGTTCTCCAGATCCAGGATGAAAAGTAGTGGCCTCGAGATACTGCACGTAGGTCAGCCAAAAGCAGGAAATTGTATGAAGGTCACCACGGGCTTCACTCCTTTTCTACTTTCCCTGTAACAGCACCTTACACTTATCATGAGCTTATAAAATGAGCTACCTGCTTTACTGAGACAAAACTGGCATCAACAGACCAGGCTTCCCTAGAAGGACAAGCAGAGGACATGAGGGCACGTACACAAGGAGGGTCTGGAGACCAAGCATGTCACCTTCCTGACCACAGGCAAGGTCCTGACCCATGGCAGAAATCAACTATAAATATGTTTATCAAAGGAAAACGGTCTTAGGAACAACCACCTCTGAGGAACATCACTATTAGGGTTCTAAATACAATATTGTCTGCATTGTTAGGGCACAGGTCCCCTTAAACTAAAATGATTAATTACTCACTTTTTTTTGTTGTTAATCCTCATCGAGGATTTTTTTTATTGATTTTTTACAGAGTAATTACTCACATCTTGATCTGACAGTTTTTCCACCAACATTTCTTCTAGTTCCTCCTTAATCAGCCATCTGCTGCCAATCAGGTCTCTGTTAAAATATCACATAGATTCTCTTTTAAATTAACCATGCAATTAGAGTTATATCACAAAGGATCCCACATGTAGTAGCAATTCTTGATTGGGAAACAAATTTTTGTACTATATAGCTGTAAAATTTCATCCAAGTAAACTAATTTTCAGATATAATTTTTCACTTCCTCAATCTACTCTAGGAAAGATAATCTAGCAAATGTTTTGTTTGAAGAGTTAACATGCCACTGTGAAATTAATTTGATAATTAAAGCCATCATATTTCTTAAAAATTAAAAGTTCACTTGTTTTTCATAATTTACTTCACAGAAGATGCTTTGAGCGCACTGTGAATCGGCCAATGGGCTGAAGTAGTAACACATCCAAACGAAGGGCCAGGCGTGGTATTTACAACCTCAACAAGATATGCTCAAAGATTTATGTCTTGTGCATAAGGATAAGTATGTCAATAACCAGGCCGAAATGTAAAACTGGTTGCTCAGGATGATGGATCTAATCTGTCACTGTTTGCTAAATGAAAGCTCAAACCTTAAAATACTAAAAAAAAATTTAAAGCATGTAACATTTAAGTGTGTAGCTATATACACAAAAATTCTGAGGCTGCCATACTCAAGTATAGTTATTAAATACCATTTAGTATATAAATATGGAAAGAAGTACCATAAAAATATAATCTTAATATTTACTTTCTCTCAAACAAACAAACAAAAGAATCACCTACTATTTTGACCTCTAACTTTAATGATTAATGCTGAAATACTGAACCAATTTTTAGGCTTAAGGTATGCTTTAAAAACACCAATGATAAGTGGCACGTTAGTTCAAATTTTTCATATATTTTTTTTAAATATATTTTATTGATTTTTTACAGAGAGGGAGAGAGATAGAGAGTTAGAAACATCGATGAGAGAGAAACATCGATCAGCTGCCTCCTGCACATCTCCCACTGGGGATGTGCCCGCAACCCAGGTACATGCCCTTGACCGGAATCGAACCTGGGACCTTTCAGTCCACAGGCCGACGCTCTATCCACTGAGCCAAACCGGTTTCGGCAAAATTTTTCATATATTTTAATAGAAGAAAAGAACTTACGTAGTTTTATCTTTTTCTGAAAACAGACCTTTGGCTTGCAACTGATTTTTATGTTTTTCTATATCGAGTATCTTTCCATATGTGTCCTGTGGCAAATAAAATACACATGCTAAAATAAGGGAGATGGTACATTATTACTTTTACTTTACATTTTCCCTGAGCACCCCTTACTTCAAAAGTGACCTCCTCAAATAATCTAGCTGCATAGCAAATAATACTGAAAATGCTTTGTAAGAATACTATTTCTCATTCAAACTCAAGAATGGAAGAGTAATTTCAATGAGAATTTAGTATAATGCATACATTAACTAATTTTTAAATAACTAATTTTTAAGTAACTGTAAGACACAACTTTAGTGAAGTTGGTAAAAACAAAACCAAACCACAAACTATTTTCCTTGAGTCCCACAAACAGGAACAAAAATTTTCCTTAGAAAAAAATCTTCATTTATATAGCAGTATGTACTTTAAACTTAAGAGAATTAACCAGTAAAAGTTATGGCATTTACAGCTGAAGTGCTTATCTCATGTATATTTATATAATATTTAAGTCCTCACTATATAGTTCCTATCTTAAAAATAGTGTTCTATTATATTTACTTTTCATTATCTGTTTTCTTTTATTAATTTACTTTCTAATAAAGTCTGCGAAATGTATGGCACTTGTTAAACTGTAATACAAATAGGGGAAAATTTTCCATTTTGTTAGAACTTGGCAATACAGGTTTATCAACAAAATACATTTTCCAGGAAATGAGTTTACAACAAACAAAGTAATGCAATTGTTTCCCAATTTTTTGTTTGAGCAAACTTATTTGGATTCACATCCAATATGTGAGTATTCATCTATAATTACACATAACCTACTTTACTAATACCTAACGAACAAAGAGGCATCTTCAAAGAGTGAGTTAGACATGATATGAGTGACGTTTTTTCCCTCGCTACTCATGACATCTTCCAATGTCATTAGCGAACGTCGGAAGACAGCTTGTTGCTGATAGAGATGCTCACCCAGATCACAGACAGTCTTAACTAATCATTTCAGATTTGAGGGGCAATTTCTTATGGGCTTTGATTAGACTGCCATGTTATATCACAATGCTGTTAGTTTGTTCTAAAAGGAAGTAATCCCTTTGCCACTGTCTTTGTATTTACCACTGCTTACATTTTATTATTAATTCAGGAACCTATTTTCAGGAATCCATTTCTCTCATGGGGGACAAAAATGTTAAAAAAAGAAAAAAGAATGTAGCGGGGAAAGGGGACATAACATTTTCAATAATAAAGAATTAAAAAAAAAAGAGGAATGTAAACACAGAGCCTTTGAGTTTCACAAATATAGGTGAGAAAAGCCAAGGCTAACTCTGTGGGCTGAGACTTCCCATGATAAGGATGTAAAAGTTCATTTCTTGTGGCTGGGGAGACTCAGCAGAGCGCTTTTGTTCTGTTTTCAGCAGGACTAGCAGAACTGACAGCTCATGAGAGACAAGAAAAGCAACAGAAAGAAGAGAAGCAGCAGTCTGAAGCTATGGGCTGAGCTACAGATTCTAACAGTGGACACGAGTATTCCAGAGTGAAACACCTACTAGTTCAGGAATTGTAAAGGTCAGGGCAGCAGTAGCACCCAAGCCCAAGACTGGTTAGAAATGTAACTTCTCGCCCTAGCTCGTTTGCTTAATGGTTAGAGCGTTGGCCTGCAGACCAAAGGGTCCCGGGCCCTGGTGGGGGCTCATATAGGAGGCAACCAATCGATGTGTTTCTCTCTGTCTTTCCCTCTATTCCACTCTCCCTAAAAATCAATGGAAAAATATCCTCAGGTGAGGATTAACCAAAATAATTAAAAAAAAGAAATGTCACTTCACAGGCTCCTCACCAGACTTTCTGAAAAGGAACCTGGTAAGGCCAGCGACGTGTTTAATGATACCCCCAAGAGATGTGCGGTCACGCTTGGATCTGTACACTAGGCCTGTCGAGAGCTGGGTTCGATGCGACAGCAAGAGGACAAAGTAAGTTAATCTGCTTCTAGTGTCCTATTAAGGATAACTATCTCTACAAACACAGCCAAAGTACAAATCCATCAGCTGTAGCAGCAGCAAAACGTATGTGAACCATCTGTCCACACTAAAGAAAGCAAAACCTAACGTGAACCCTCACAGATAAACATGTTCCTGCTATTCAACTTAAAATATTACAACTGCCTCCCACGAACTGGTAAGCCTCATTTGACTGTGGTTAGTGAACCTTTGACTCATTTCTAAAGGATCAATAGTGGGTTGTGACCCTAACTGAATAGTATATCAGAAAAACTTCTATGCACTTGTTTTGAGAAAGCAATTCTCAAGTGCCCTGAACGGGTGAAATAAAAGGAAAAAACCCTCCCCCACGTGTCTGAAGTGGACACAGTACAAACAGCATCACACCGGGTGCCGGACCCCAGCCAGACTGCCATGTTTGGGGACACTGGTAAAAGGATGGTGCTAGTTAAGATTCTGAGTGCAGCCCTAATCGGTTTGGCTCAGTGGATGGAGCGTAGTCAGCCAGTGGACCGAAGGGTCTGGGGTTCGATTCCAGTCAAGGGCATGTACCTTGGTTGCAAGCTCAATCCCTGGCCCTGGTCAGGACACGTATGGGGGGCAACCAATCGATGTGTCTCTCTCTCCCCCTCCCTTCCACTCTCTCTAAAAATCAATGGAAAAATATCTTCGGGTGAGGATTAACAAAAAAAGAAAAAAAAAGATTCTGAGTGGGTAAGTCACAGATGTTGTGTCTTTCAGATCTAGCTAAGGAAACATAAATCCAAGAGAACACCACCAACAGTAATAAGATACTCTCCCCTTTTTGTGAGGGTCTATTTAATTTTCTGGAATAACCAAGCCACTAAAATAAAAATAACTGACCTGCTTCACAGGAAAGTTTCAAGTCAAAGTTTGGGCTGCAAAATTCATCATTATTTTCAGGTGACTTTTGAGCAATTTTTACTTTAAGTCCATATTTTTCTTACTGTTTTCTTTCACTATGCCATTACCATCCAGTGTTCCACTTGGCTCCATAATAATTTATAAATAGTGCAAGTAAAATAATCAGAAAAATATGAGAAAATAACAAAGCTCATGTCAAATTTTAAGCACGGTAAATTTTGTTCATTTATGACAAATGTTAACACTTTGATGGCTGCAATCTGTCAAATTACATAATACTCATTACTTGTACTTCTTCAAATAGGGAAATATATGTAAACTAGTTAGCACAGTGCCTGACCTATGCTAATGGGCAAGAAATGGCAGCAGTGGTGACGTTTGACATCTGGGAGCCTAATAATGGAGAAACGATCTTCCTGGTGCACCATTTCTATTTTTCTTTTTTTTCTACATAATACAACCATTCCTGAAACTCTATCTTGTTTAGAAACAACAGTTCTCTGGAAAGTAGACTCTCTAGCTTCAACTCCCTGAAGATATGTGTACTAATTTACATAAAAAAATTCTTGAGGGTATAAAATATGCCAGGAACTGTCAATATCACAGATTATCACTGGTAGCTTTTGGTATACTGTTAAATTTCCACTTAATTTTTAAGGGACACTAGAGAATTAGTATGACATTAAGTTTGTATACTGTATTTAATAGTATCTTTTTAAAATATGACAGGAATAACCCAGATGTGAAATGCTGAATCATTAATCACAGTTATGATTAATATTTCATAAAATCAAAGTGAGCCTATCTACCCTTGTGCCATCAGATTTCCATAATGCATGAGTCAAATTTAGAAGGTGCCTAATTTGAACATACCAGATGCTCAGGTTCAGGAAAGAAGTGCTTAAACTAAACCCTCCTGAGCAGTATGATTTTTGGTCTAAAAAAAGCTGATTTTAGTCTTCTAAAACCTGATTTGGTTGTATTAATCATGTAGAAATTCCAAATTTAGGAAGGGTAAACAAATAACGTTTCTTGGGAGAATGGTATAGGAAAAGTCAACTGAATTTTGATGTACTTATTTACAGTTAACATCATCTTAGATACTAGACACAAACAAAAAAGTAACATAGTTAAAATTATGTATTTGTGTTTTTTATCACAGAAAATCAATTTCCAAAATCAATTTCCTAAATAACATTTTTCTAGATTTTATGGCTACTGGCATATACAAAATCAAATGAGATAAATATAAATATAATAATTTCTGCTATTTATCTAAAGTTCCAAGCAACATAGTTCTTTTGTATACTCTTGCTATCACTCTGTGAAAACAATATGCTATGTAGTTTACACATCATACAGTGCTAGTCAACATAAAAAGGGAAATAGACTCTTATACATGGCATACAGAAAAGTACTTTGGGAAAGCACACCCAGGAGTAATTACATAAAAAAGCTTGTAACTCTCATACCATATACTTTTACTATTCAAAGTAAGGCTTCACCACATATTATAATAACAATTATACCATTATAAGAGTAATCTGATTAAAATCACAGAGGCAATAAGTTGAATTAGCTTTTAAAATTTAATTTTTAATCGTTACATTTAGTACATGCAAGATATAAAATGGTAATTATTCTAATGCATATTAAAGATACTTCAGGAACAGCAGTTTCTATTGCTGAGTTAATTCCTGAATTGACTCCTGCTGTCAAGAAGTCTTAAAACAGCCTACGAAATGCCAGCATCCGTCTGTAGCTTTCTAAAACCAAGCCCTTTACATAGTGTAGGTATTCCATTACACCTCATGGTGAGAAGGCTCACTGTTTTAATTCCATTTTTACAGATACAAGCAGAACATCAAGAGCTTTCAATATTCATCGCAAGGTTACAAAGATGTGAAGGAAGTGAGGCCTGTGACTGCAGGTCCCAGGAGAGGGCTTTCTGGAGTCTGGAGTCTTCGCCCGAGGAGCCCCACGCCGCTCCTGGCTGCTCTCCACACGCATGCACACGATCACAGAAGGCCACGCCAGTCACTTAAAACAAACTGGAGGATTTTTAAAGAAGCCTTCTTTCAAAAGGCAGCATATCTTGATTATGCGTAAGTTATCAGAATTAGAATTACTTGGTTTTGTTCCAGATTTTTTTTAATTCAGCAGAGTAGTTTAAGTATATAATGATCTACGTATTCCCTAATTTTATACTTTTATTGGAGTAAAAATTTCATCTGTGACCATGTGATTCCTTCAATTTATAAAAATACTTTGAAAATACTCCATTGTTTACTGTAAAACTTGCCCTAAACTATCAATGAGATTTCTATAAGATGATTATTCCCACTGCAGTTTTTAGAGCTGACTAATCTTACCTTAAAGACTGGGGAGGGGAGCGCGTGTAAAATTTCAATGAACTCTTACTGCACTTGACAGCTTAGCGTTTTAATTCGCTTTCCAGCCTTTCCCAAGCACTAGTTTCCCCGGATTTTTAAAAGGTGTTCTGGGCAGAAAGGGCTCCAGACCCAGCATGTTTCAGCAGCAGTGCGTTAATGCCACACGTTTCTTCACTGAAGGACTTCACAGAGCTGCTCACACTAATAAGTATCTTCTTATTAGTTTCTCAGTCTGCCACCTTCCCACACTAACTTAACTTCAGAGACCCTTTCTTGGAGATTATTTTATAACCTGTGTGCCTCAGAAAACATGTTGGGAAAGCTGCATTATAAACATGGGGACAAAATGAATCATATTTTACAAATGGGTTCCCACTTCAGAGTGAAATAATCACCCCCTATAATGAGTTTTAGATAATTTCCAACTCATTTTTTTGTGAGAGAATTTTTAAAATTTCAGAAATGTATGTATTAATAAAATGAGTCAATCTGAATTAACATTTTTCTGAAAATCTAAGGACCTGAGGTCAAACTCAACCATGACTACCCAGGTGGCCTTGCTCAGGATTGCAGCCCACTCTCCCCTTCACCACTGGCTCGGTCGGCCTGGACAGGCTGCAACTGCTGCAGACAGGGGGTACCCCTGGAAGGCTGGTGCACCCAAAGAGCACATCCTTCTGGCCTATCCCTTACTGGTCCCTCACCTAGACCCCAGCCACTCACAACGCAGTTGCTCAATGGCCTAATAACATTGCACAGACATCCCTCTTCAACAAGTCTTCCCTTTCCTCTACACTTCTGCTCAGCTGTTCTAAGAAACTTCTTTTCTTCTTCCTCTAGTTCTTCATTCTGCTCCTGAAACCCTAAACTGAAACTCTTAAGTCATGTCTAAAAAGTATACAAGTTCTATTGGTAAGTGGCTGTTAAAGAAACAGAAAGCCATCCATTTGGGTGAAAAAGACAGATGAGCAGTGCCATCTGGGCTGGAGCTCCCTCTTCAGTTCTCACCACCCTTCGAGAGACTCTTGAAGTCTCCTGCTTCTTCTTACTTAAAGGACGGTTTATTGCTCAGGAATCAGCTGCTAGCATTGTTTTATACTTCTTTTCACTACACATGGACATCATATTCGCTATATTATAAGTGGCATGTTACCAACTTTCCCAGGAACGTGAAGCAGTATATCACTGTCCATAGGAAAATGCAGTTCTAACTCACCTGCTAACGAACCTTCAGAATGTAACACACAAGTTGGAGACCCCATGGGTCAGCAAACTTTCCCTCACTTTATTCTTTCCTATACTTCATTTCAATGGAACAATAAATTGCTTCTTGCTTTTCATCTTCATCCTCCCTCAAAAATCTCCCTGCTTCTCCACAAAAATTAGATGGTCCAATTACCGGCCAACTGGACAGTGTTCACCAAAGCATTATATATCCTTAACTGTAAGCTGTATCAGGACTCCCTTCTATTAGTTGCTATAATGTAACATATAGGCTTAACATGCAAGCAGGGACTAAATACTAAGAGGAAGACTGGCACAGAGGACAGGATGGTTAAATGGCACCAGAAAGGTCTCCTAGTAGAACTGCACACTGCTCTAGGCCTGTGTCTTTGTGTCAGAAAGCTTGGCCGATGACTGCCATGCTTCAATTGGGAAAACTGATATGGCTCAGTATCTTTTATATCATCACATGAAAAGCAATTGTATCAACAAAAAGAAATGGAAACAACAATCATTCATTTCCAAGTACTTAACGCCCCACAGTCTCTGGGGCCTACCCCTTGCTGCAGCGGAGGGCAGGAGTGGACTCACATAACAGAGAATGGAACAGCAGCTCCACCACCAAGAGAAGGCAGAACAAAGGAGAGAGCAAACACGTGAAGCAGTTTCCATTTTCATTGTTTTACTTTATGTGCAATGCTTGACTTCACTACAAAACCAGTCCTGTAAGCCCACCAGCAAGCACTGAGTCACATGCTATTTAAAGCAGCAAACCGAATCTGAGATGACATTGGTCTGCATGATCTTGGAAACGAGACTGGTGTGACTAGAGCTGTAATTAATAACAAGTGCCACACATGATGCTAAAGAGATGGGCATACATTTAGGAAAACATTTATCCTTTTCCCCATACATATAATTACTTTAAAATTCCATAAAACACATTGTTGAAAATACAAGGTTTTATGATTATCTGAATTAAAATTAAAATGCTCAAGTTAACCCCAAATATCTGTAATTCCTATCTGTAAACTGTTCTGATCAGCAATAAAACCAAACCTAAATCCCATACAGTTTGGGAAGTTCAAACACCCAAGAAAACAAACTGACCTAAATTAAATTACAGAATTTAACTGAAATATAAAAGCCAAAGAACTCTCCTATATGTAACAGGAACCATATTACTCAAAAAGAAAGTTTATTAATCAGATATAATTTGACTTTTCAGTCAGAGTATGCTATTTTATCCACTGAGAAACTAACCAGTTTCTTGAGCAATACCTTTTTAAAAGACATAAACAAAAATAAAGTTAGGCCTCTCTTACAATGTGTAATTTCTTCATTATGATGGAATGCAGCAAAACATCTTGCCCTTGGGTTGCTCAGTTTCAGCCAAAACAAATGCAAATGGCTTGTGGGCTGACAGCTGTTTGATAAGGCGCCTGCACAAGACCTGCATGCTTTACTTTCTCCCGTGAAACTTGGGATGAAAGGCAGGAGGCAGGAAGGGAATTAATGTAGCATACAGTCTAAAGGCAATGCTACAGCCGTGATTAAGTAGAAAAGTTAAAAGGCACAGATTTTCCACAGCTTCGCTGCGTGCAACCCATCCGTGTAACAAGTTGACAGGCCTAGCGCGTCAGCTCCATCATCCCCTCCGACAGCTAAAACGCAGCACTGCATCCCTTTTCAGAGGAAATTTGCGTCTGCACCATGAAGCGTTGTACATTATTTCTTAGCACTGCAGGGGGCTTAAGTCCATATGGAACCTTCACAAATATTACCACAGATCAAACCAGCGGCGTCTGCAGGCAGATTTGACATACCTATTTAAATGAACAGCAGGGGTCCTCGGGCAGCCTCGGGCTGTGCAGAGACAACCTCAGCGGAACGCCTGCGCCTCAGCTCCATTACTCAGCAAAGATACACTCTACATTTATCATTCATTTCATTTCTGCCAGGGCAAGAAGCTCATTTGCCCAAGGTCAACAAAAACGAAAATAAGGTTTTCTTTTTTTCTCCCCCAAGAAATAAATGTACCTGACAAGTGAGGATTTTGTCCTTTGGGTTTCAGTCCTAAAGAGCAGAGGAAATGTGTGCATGGGATTCAAGCAACCTGAAATCAATGGGGGAGGATGGGGGAGGAGGGGACGGGACCCAATAAATACTCTAAAAAGTCATACAGTGAATAAAGTAAAACTTGACATGTTCTAAGAATGAAATGGGTTCTGTTGCTCAAACCTGGATATTGGCATCCAGGTCTCCCCAATAGTTATTCTGGGGAATTCCTGAGTTTACGCACTATCACACACTTTGGCTCTGAAAAGGAAACTTCCAGGATACTCCAATGCAGGTGGAAGTCAACGTAATAAAATAATTTCTTGGGTCTTTTTTCTAGTCTTGCTAGACTCATACACTGCATAAGTCTATGAGGAGCAACAACTGTACCTAAGTAACAAGTACAGTTAACTGTCTGACTCTCTCCCAAGGTGCCTTGCAGCTCCCACCACACTCCATAGACATTCACACAGACTCGGCCTTGCCCAGCCTCACGTTTTTCCTGGACTGCACTGCACATACATGCACTATGGCTAAGGGAGCATCTATCTCCTATCAGTAAAAGCATTTGAAAGACAAACCATTCTGTTATAAATTCTATAATGTTTACCTTTAGAAAAATGAATAAAATAAAAAGCTTTTAACATACTGTCTTACCTCTAAAAGTCTTATTTTTGTCCATTATGAACCATTCTAGGTACACCGTGAAGCTTAGCAAAATCTCTGGTATAATCAGTTACTTAGCTTACAGTTCCTATTATTTATCGTAAATGTAATATACTTACATGCATTAATGAGTAGTATGACTGCTTGCCAGTATAAAAGAGATAATGAAATGGACGGCCATCTTCTCCCCACTGGGTTGCTAATAAAAAGCCAGATGAAAACAAATAAACGAATAAAATAAAATACACGGAAAGAGACCAAATAGATGTATTTAATTGCAGTTATGAGACACATTAGTAATTCTGATTAACTTTTAAAGTAACAAAAACATTAATATTTAAAATTTTAATATTTAGTTTAGCATGTTTAACATGTAAATATTTAGGCTACTTATTTAATAGCCATTGACATAAAACAATGTATTTGAGTAACTATTCTAAATATCTCACCACAAGAATTTCTATAACTTTTTTTAAATAAACACACATAAAATAGCCAAAATCATCCTGTTAGGACAAAAATATTTTGGTGTGACTGCAAATACAATGCACTCCCATATTCTTAAAAACAAAAACTGCTAGTCAATAATGTACTTCATTCAGAAAATTAGAAACAGGCATAATAAAAAACAAACAAAAACTAAGTGGATTTTTCCATGCCACATGATTTATTTCAACTGTGATGACATACCTCCAAACGTTTAAAATGTCTAAAACTGAAGTGGCCCCCAAAAGGTGCTACGTGTAATTCCCTTTAAAATACAGATGGCCATTCACCTCTAACGAACACCAAACAAACGGAGAGTGGAGTCCCTGTAGTAAATAAAGCAAACACCAACTCCATGCCCTTTGCCCATGTTCCTCTTGTTTCTGTTAACAAGTTGTAGGAACTCTAATACGTTAAAAATTATACTCCTCTGTCCACTACATAAGTTGTAAACTCTCTTCTCCCAATCTGTCACTTGCCTTTTCATTGTGTTTGTGGTGTCTTTCATAATTGAAAAGTTTAACATACATGTTTTTGTAGAATCTGTCACTTTTTCTCTATTGCAGTGTTTCTCAAATATTTTTTTCATTATCAACCCTATTATGGAGCCTTTTTAGACTTTTTTTCCTAATTGCCTCTTTCTCCATGAAATTTTAATACCAAACATACTGCATATCGGTTGATGTGTATTGTGGTGGCCCTTCAGAGAGCCGAAACCTTGTAATAGCTGAGATTTTTTTCACTTCCTCTGAACCAATTTATTCCCCTTTAGGCTCAACACCACTCCCATTGAGAAAGCATGCTTGTAAGACCGTGTGCTTACTAAAAATTATTTTCCTATACTCTGAAATTTTTTTCATGTTTAGAAATTTAATCTACCTGGAATTTACATTTGTGAGACAGAAATGTAACTATTTTGCCCACCAAGGTGAGTCATTATTCATTAGTTTGTTTTTTTAAAAAAATATATTTTATTGATTTTTTACAGAGAGGAAGGGAGAGAGATAGAGAGTTAGAAACATCGATGAGAGAGAAACATCGATCAGCCGCCTCCTGCACATCTCCCACTGGGGATGCGCCCGCAACCAAGGTACATGCCCTTGACCGGAATCAAACCTGGGACCCTCCAGTCCGCAGGCCGACGCTCTATGCACTGAGCCAAACCGGTTTCGGCCATTATACTATACTATACTTTCTGTTGAAATGCCACCTGCACAACATATAAGTAATCTTTCCCTTCTGAGGGTAACTGGTATTACACATGGGCCACTTTAAGTGAACACACCTGAAAAGAAGACCAAACTTTCACAGTAACTGGTGAAAAAGAAATCCTGATAGAGTTCAGCTTGAAAAAATAAAACAAGATTCTTATTTGTCAATGTCTTGAGGATGAATTAAATAGTTCTCCAACATCCCTATCATAGATTGCAAATTTTTCAATATTTATAACTTTACTATGCGATACATTTTCACTATACTGTTAAAGCAATCAGTTAAAAAAAAAAATGACCAAGAAAGACAAACATCATGGCTACATCTGCACATCTACTGGGGATGTGCCCGCAACCCAGGTACATGCCCTTGACCGGAATCGAACCTGGGACCTTTCAGTCCACAGGCCGACGCTCTATTCACTGAGCCAAACCGGTTTCGGCTATTTGTCAATGTCTTGAGGATGAATTAAATAGTTCTCCAACATCCCTATCATAGATTGCAAATTTTTCAATATTTATAACTTTACTATGCAATACATTTTCACTAAACTATTAAAGCAATCAGTTAAAAAAAAAAAAATGACCAAGAAAGACAAACATCACGGCTACATATGAGACTTTACTTTAAAGCTTGGAGGAATTCTGAGTTGGGCCTCATTTCATGTGAGTGTTTGAGTGTGTATGTGTATATTTGATTTCATAAAGTATGCATGTATATACACATATGTATATACATATATATGTATATATCCTATATGATAAAAGAGAAACATGCAAATTGACCGTCCTTCCGCTACACTCAAGCCATGCCCACCAGCCAATCAGGAGCAAGTATGAAAATTAACACAACTAAGATGGCGGAGGCCACGGAGCTGGAGCGAGCAGGAGGCTTGGGTTGCCCCTGGCGATGGAGGAAGCCAAGCATCCCGCCTGCCCTGGCTGGCCCTGGGCTATGCTCAAGGCTACAAAGTTTCAATTATAGAAGATAAATAAATCCCAGATACCTGCTTCCAGCCCGCCCTGGCCTCCACTCAAGGAGGGGCTGGGAACCTGGGTTGCTAGGGGCAGCCCAGGCTTCCAGCCGGACCTGGGCTCCGCTCAAGGCTACAAAGTTTCAATTATAGAAGATAAATAAATCCCAGACCAAAAAAAAAAAAAAGAAAGAAAAAAAGGAGAGGCTGGGAGCTTGGGTCGCCGGGGGGCGT